CATAGCGCATCTTGTAACAGGGGACCATAATGCTTCATGATATGTATTCTTCCTGTTTATATTATTCAATAAAGTATTCCCATCTCCTCTTATCAAAAAAAAAAAAAGAAGGGAGAAGTCCTTTCTTTGCTAGAAAATTTAAAACCAAGCCTGCCCTTCATCTCTTCAATATGGTAATCTTATCGTTTCTTTCTTCATTAATGCTTTCCTTTACTCCCTTTAGAAATTATGGTATCTTCTGTGTAACTTCATTTCAAGAGTTCTAATTTGGTCATAGAACCTTACAAAGTAATAAATTTGAATAAACAATTTTGTGCACATAATTTTCTGCAACAATTGTAATCAAACATTCCAAGATCGCACAAACATATCTGAATAAACAAATTCATGGAGGTCTAAGATATGCATATAGTTATTATGATGTATACGCAGGTTTCCTACACTAGGGAATTTATAATCAATGTTTGTCCAACCATTTAGGAATATGGTTTGAAATAAGAAATTTACTATTTCTTATTACTATTTTTTTTTTGTAAGATATAATACTAATAAAAAAAAGTGGGTATTAGTTTGTATTGTAAAAAATTAGATGAAAAAATATCTTAAAATTATATCATTTTACTAAAATTCTATTAAAAAAATAAAATATTTAAATTATTTTTATAGTAGAGATGAGAATATTTGAGTCTTTTCACGTAATATTTTATTAAAAAGAGTAATTTAAAAGTATTTTTTTGTATAATTTTTTATAGATCTAGCTGATAAACATTATTCTTATACTAATAATTATTTAGAATGTTTGGACACATCAACATATAGACAAATTGGCGATATATTATAGTTATAATACTATGTAGGATTAATGAAATATGATTTGATATTAATTACTGGTGAATTCCTAAATAAAAAAACTAATTATATAATAATATATCATATTATATATTTATAATATTACGTGACATTATAATTATATATTTTTTATAGGTAAATTAATATGGAAATTTTAAGTACAAACCTTTGTAGGGAAGTTCCCTATGAATCCAATTAAACACCAATTAGAAAACTTCTATGAAGTTATGAATCTTCCCAAATATCAATGTCATTAAATATGCAAATCATTTAAGCAGACGGCCTTGGTTATGTATGTAAAATGATTTAGAGATAATTTTTTTATATTATTTTTTTATGATTTTATATATTATTTAAATAATTGACTATTTTCATTTATCTAAAACTTGTGATATTAAATATATTTATTTATTTAATAATATATAAAAATTATATAACAAAGTGATAAAATGATTGTTCTCTATCATCTATTACTAAAAAAAAAGGCTATTTTCTAGCACATTTTGCATTGAAAGATACTCAAGATGCATTGGAAAATTCTTATTTTCTAGCATTGTGCGCTAGAAAATGTTGATGGAAAAAAAAAAAACGTGTGCTAAAATAGTTATTTTTCAGTGCAAAAAAAATGCCTTGAAATACTTACTAATTGAGCACTAGAAAATAATGGTTTAACAGCAAACCTATAATGTGTTTTCACCTATTGTTATCACTTATTTTTAAGCATTCAATGTTAGAAAATAATTGAAACTTTAGAGGGATAACCATTATTTTTCGACGCTGTCCAAAAAATTTTAAAAAAATCAATTTTACATTACTATAATTATATCCAATTAGTAAATATTTACAAATGCAAAATAATATTTAATATAAATAAATTCAACCATAAAATAATACTATATATCATAATCAAGATTATATAAAATAAGATTATTTGTACAAAAATCTAAAACACACACTAAATAAAAATACAACACATATAATAACTAAAAGTAAAGAAATTAAATATATAAAATGTTACTAATAAAACACCATTTTATAATATATTAAATTAATTATACATAAACAATTATATTTAATATATTCATTTTATAAACACAATCTTATATAAAACATTACATAATACAAATAATTTAATAAAGATAATGATACATACATTCTGCAAGTTACATAAACCATTAGTGTGTAACAAAATTGTTAGTTTTAACGGTATAAGTAACAGAAATCGTGAGTTTTAATAGCACAAATAACCAAAATTGCCAGTTTTAACGACACAAGTAACGGAAATCATCAATGTATAACGAAGTGTGTAATTTTATAAGGTATATGTACCATTTCCCTTTAATAAATATTGCCAAATAAATGAAATCAAATACATAAATATACTTCAACTCCATGTAATTCATAAGAACCTTAAAATACATAAAAAAAATTAATTAGTAATATATATGAGAGTTTATTGATAAAGAAAAATATAAAGAAAATTAAAAATTAAACTACCAATAAATTGAAATGAATAGTTCCTCTTATTTCAAGTAACATATTAAAGGAAGAGGAAGAGGAAAAGGAAAAGGGGAATGGAGAGAACAAGAGAAAAGCAAGAAGGAAAGTAGAAGAAATGAAGATGAAAGGGAAAAGGAAAAGAAAGAGGAAACGGAGAGAAGGGGAAAGGGAAGAATAAGATGAGAAAGTGAAATATATGAGTGGAGTAAAGGAAGAAAGGAGAAAAAAGAAAGTGAATTTGGATAAGGGAGGAGAAAAATTAAAGAGAAAAAAGAAGAAGATGGGAGAAAATGCTGAGGAAAGGAAGGTTAGAGATTTACATACATAAATATTATTTTCCACAGGTTAGCGTTGGAAAATAATATGGGCAAGATTTTAAAAATTTTTACATGGAAAAAATGATGCTTCAATGTTGAACTTAAAACTTTAGATAAAATTATTAGCGTTGGAAAATAATATAGTCAAGATTTTGATTTTTTTTTTTAAAAAAATATATATATATTTGAATATTTGGTTCTTAAACTTAATAAACTTATTTTCCAACGCCAAGTGTTAGGAAAAAACCTGAACCAATTGGTCAGAAATATTTTTCAGTGCTTAATACTAGAAAATAACTTGAACCAATTGAATAAGAGTATCTTTCAGCACCAAGCGTTAGAAAATAGGACACTGATTGGGGCACACCCGGATCCCACACCCGGATCCCACACCTGGGTGTGCACCCCCCACATAACCAAAACAAAACCAAAAAATATAGGGATAAAATTACAAATTTAACCTTAAAAAGTCATCTTCCTCACACTACCCATTTCTCCTTCTCTCTCGATTCTTCCCCTTTCTGCAAATCTCCACCTTGTTTCCATTCTCCGATCTTCACCATCTTCTTGCCAATTTCAGCACCATCACAACCTCCATCATCATCCGCGATCACCACTGAAACAGAAGAAGGATTCGACAGCCAAAACTTCTGTCTCTTTACCTCGGGTTTTCTTCCTCCTAGTATTCTGCATATCCGGTTTTTGAGGAGAAAGGAAGGGTTTCGTTTGGGGCAACAACGACTGAAGAATATGGGTTTGTTGAACCCGAGCTAGGTTCTCCAGCAGAACACAAATCTAGGTTCTGCTGGAAAAACCCGACATTTGGGTTCTGTTGCCTTCGTTCTTGATTTTCTTGAATTAATTAGGGTTTCTCAATTGCTTTTTTATCTTTCGCTACTTCTGATTTTGATTGTTTGTCTTCGAATTTTTGTTAGCTTCACTTTAGGTATTGGAATTTTAGGAATTTAAGGTATTTAGAGATGAATGAAGGAAAAGGGGAGGATTCCCGTGTCTGATTATTTTGGGGGCAAACATTTGGACTTCTAGAAAATTCCATGAATTTGTTAGACACGGGAGAATTGGAATTGGTAGGAAGAGAATTAGGGCATTCTCGAGCCAACATAGGGGAAGTGAATGCTCGATAAATTTTCTCCTTTTCCTATATTTTCTCGACATCCAAACAGCGGGATCTAGCATAAAAGTTAATGCATAAAAGATAAATTTGTTAATGTTGCAGTTCTCAGAATCTGATTCAGCAACTACTCACTACAACTCAGAAGACAAATCTCAAATTGAGTTCATGCCTCATCTGCAGCAGAAACCCAAATGTGGGTTCTACTGTAGAACCCGATCTAGGTGCTTGAATGCTTGGTTGAATTTTGCTTAGATTTGTTCTTGTTGTAATTTGGGAAATGGAATTAGAGAGAGGGTAAATTTGTAATTTTATCCTTATATTTTTTGGTTTTGTTTTGGTTATGTGGGAGGTGCACACCCGGGTGTTGGATCCGGGTGTGCACCACTCATTATCCTAGAAAATAACATAAAGCAATTGGAGAGGAGTATTTTTCAATGTCAAGTGCTAGAAAATAATCTGTACGACTTAAGCAGGATTATTTTCCAGTGTCAAATGCTAAAAAATAACCTATACAACTTAGGTAAGATTATTTTTCAGTGCTGAGCGCTAGAAAATAATCTACACCCCATTTCTATCATTTAACTTTGATGATTCTAAATAAAACATTGGAAACAAAAAGTGAAAAATATTCTTTTTTGTTTTGAAAATTTTCTCTATTAGTAGGAACACAAAAAACATTATTTTCTAACGTTGGGCACTAAAAAATGAAAAGGCATCAAACTAAATTACAACATTAAATTATTTTTTAATGCTAAATATTAAAAAATGAGCCTAACTTTAAAATTATTTATAAATTTTAGGTATTTTATATCAAAATTTAATTTTCAATACTCAACGCTAAAAAATAATATGAAAAATAGTACAGCGCAAATTACGTCAGAAAAAAGTTGGATGAAAAAAAGGTCAAATTTATCACCTATTACGTATACACATTTCTTAGGAAGAATGTACGGAAATAGTGATTGCATTGCTACAGTAATAATTTATATAATCTATAATATAATGTGTGAAGGCTTACCGTGTACGAGAGAGAGAGAGAGAGAGAGAGAGAGAGAAGTGTCATTGTTCCCTAAGTGAAGTTGTGAAAGAAATATGTGCCAACAAAAATATAATATGAGATAGGAGATTAGCATTTACTAGTTTGATTTTTAAAAAATAATTAAGTAAAAAAATATTTAAAATTATTGTTTCAATAATATATAATAAAAAAATTAAAACAATAATTTTTATTTTTTTTAAATTAATTAAAACAACATATTTTTATCATATATTTAGAATGAGGAAATGGAGACGAGAAGAGGAGAGGCGAAGGGAGGGGTCCATTCCCCTCCCCTCCTTTTGCTTCATTTTGATAAAGAATTAACTTAAAAGAAAAATAAAAGATAATTTTCTCCTCTTCTTTCTTTCTTTTTAATTATTTTAATAATCCAATAAAAAAAGTTTTTCCCTTTTTTCCCCTCAATTTTCCTCAATCCAAAAATATTTTTTCATATAATTTTATACCAATATAATTAATAAACATTTTTTCCATAAGATAATATATGTTGTAGCATTGTAATCGAAAGTATTAATATATTTTCCAAAGAATAGCAATAAAACCTGTGTCAGAAGGGGGTGGTGTGAATCTGTGTCATGGAAAGGGACTTCTGTGTTTTAATCAAGAAAGGAGGGTAGTGCTTCTTCTCTTTTTTATTTTTTTATTTTTTATTCTTTTCTCCTTGTTTTATGTACACTTTCGTAATGGTGAATGCTACGGGGATTCACAAATTTAAAAGCATTTAAGTTTTATTTATTTTTATTTAATTTAAAATGAGTTTTGTAGTTGTAGATGCATGAATCTACAAAATTAAAAGTGCTGTATATGTGGTCTCTTTTACCAAAAAATGGTAGAATATTAAGGATGAAACATATGGTAATCTAAAAGCTTTGAATATGTTGTTGTTTAAGAAGAGAATATAGTAACTAGAGGAACTTAAACATTCAAATCAGTTTCAAATAGTGGAAATGAATCTACAAATAAATGTTTAAATGAATTTATATATTTCATTCATATCAACAGCAACAGAATTATTATTGCACTGTTATTGAAATCTACATTTTTTAAATCACTAATTCCTTCAGTTTATGCACATTCTTTCCTACTTTTGACACAGCAAGAGCATTAGATGTGGAAGATTGTCTTGGGATTTTTTAAGCACATGAATTTTTTTTTTTTTTTGAAAGGCATAAGCACATGAATTAATAAATCAATAGTTTATAGGAGTATACCTTGACTTAATCATGGAGGTGAAATGAGACATGTTACACAAAGGAAATTTCATACCAAATTCTACATCTAAAGCAAAATGAAGCATTTCAAGGTTTTGGTTACTAGGGCGACAGAATGAACGGCTCAAGTTCTTATAATTGAAGTAAAAAGAGGCTGAGTTTAACATTAGCATGCTTCCATAAATTTAGTATAAATATTTCACACAACTTATTGTTAATTTTGCACACTATCAAAACACATGATAAAATCTCATAAGAAGAATACTTTAATATTAACTAAATAAAAAGAGTCAATACAATTGATTTACTTGTACACATTATACAACCACACTTGTTTTCATTAAAACCACACAGTTAGTTTATTATATCAATTTATAATGTTTTAAATAATTAATTATAATGCATTGAAATATTTATTCATAAATTAATTTTAAGTAGTTAAATAATAAATATTAGTTATTTTATCAATTATCAACTATTTTTAATAATTAAATAAAAATAAAAATAAAATTAATTATGTGGCTTTAACGAAAATTAGTGTGGCCAACCATATCTCAATTTAATTAGTATATGCATCAATATTGAATCCATATGAGACCATATCAGATATCCAACCATATCGAAGTGATTTGCAAAACAGTAAAAGATATTATTAACTTTTTCGAATAACGTTCCACACATTGAATTATTATTATAAATGCCTCTTCAATTCACACATTCTTCATCATCCCCAACATTCATTCTAGCTCAAATATTTTCATTATTCTTTATAGAGATCACAAGCACGCGATCAATGAAGGCCCTTGCTTGTCTCCTGGTGCTGGCCTTTGTCATCGACCTCTCCCACGCCCAGGACTCGCCAAAAGACTACCTCAGCGCTCACAATGCAGCCCGTGACGCGGTCGGGGTGGTCCCCATGACTTGGAACTCCACCGTTGCAACCTACGCACGAGACTATCTCAACCAGCATATTAGTGACTGCGAGATGGTGCATTCCAGTGGACCTTACGGCGAGAACCTTGCATGGGGTAGTGCCGACCTTTCTGGGACGTATGCCGTTAAAATGTGGGTGGATGAGAAGGCAGACTATGACCACGACTCAAACAGTTGCGCCCCCAATGCGGTCTGTGGGCATTACACTCAGGTGGTGTGGCGTAACTCGGTTCGTCTGGGGTGCGCTAAGGTGAGGTGCAATAATGGTGGAACTTTGATTAGTTGCAACTATGATCCTCCAGGCAACTACATCGGGGAGCGACCTTACTAATTAAGCATATAAATGTATTTTTTTGTCAAGAGCGCTATAAAAAATTATATAACCTATTATGAATGAGTTATACATGTCCTAGACAAAAAAAAAAAAAAAATGGCAGTTATGAAATAATGAATCATATATGAGTATCAATATATCTATATATAAAAATAAAATTTATTTTCCTAGCTCCTTTCCCTTCATTTACCCACAAATTGAATACAATGTTAGTCTTTTCAGTTATGGTATTGAGAAAGTCAATCACATTATGGTTGATTGACTCTATAAACAAATGATATATTTGATTCTTGAATTGATGAGAGCTAAAATATATCCAGAGTATTTTAATACAATAATTTATTTCCTTATATGTTACTTACCCCTAAAAACTCCTCTCAGTTATAATAAAATGCCTTTCTTCCAATTCCGTTGTCTTGCATTCTCATGTATTAAACCTTGTTTTCAACATTAGGGTCTTAATTTGATTTGGTATAAAGAAGGGCAAGAGAATTTCATATACTTTTTGAGTCTCAATGAAGGTTGTGTCGACACATGCCTAGAA